AGGCAAAATAAACTTGAGTTGGCTGCAACGACCATCAAAACCAAGCACGGACTTGATTCCTAACGTATGCATTGATGGCTGGCCGGCTGGGCGGCGTAATCAGCTGATGGCTGTGACCAGTGCATAATTTTTCCTTTGTGATAAGGGAGTGCAGCATATTCTAGCATTTAAAGTATGTTTAGAACGTCACACGCTAGTATGATGTCACATACTCAATGGCCAATGGAAATGACACATGCGACGTCGCGACATGTAGGATTACGTCGGCAATTGCGTATACAAATTTATCGGCGCGTATTAGACAACTGCTCTAAGGCGAAGGCACCAAGGGCAATTGGGACGGAATCTGAGCGATTATGGGTGCCGCAGGAGGCCAACAAAGTGGCTCTCATCAACAAATATACTATCCTCAGAGCAAGCAAAAAGAACCCAATACCAGCATCGTGGGCCCCTAAACGATCGGTAGTGCCCCGGTTGGCTGACGTGTGTTGCCCCACCCAAGGTACAAGACCCTCTGGGCAAGGGTGCATTATCCAAGACCATGAATCGATACCCCTGTGCGATCAAGAGTGTACGAGCATGTCAACAGAAAGAGCCTCGATAGGATTGAATAGTCCTCCGCAAATGAGATCAAAGGGAAAGATCCTTCGATCAAAGCAGAGGGCCTCTGAGCATGGAGTATCTCAATGTCTTACTTTATCAGGGCCACAGTAACAGCACAATGCCCTCAAAGAAATGGAAAGAACCGGAGACTTATATGAATGGGCCCTGAGCAGCTGAGTGTACCCTGGCATATGGGGCCCCGGAAAAGCGCACAGAGCATTTCGGGCGAATGGGAAAAGTCCGTGGAAGAAAACCTGATCGATCAAGAGTGCCCAGGCATGGAAGCAGATAGCGTCCCAACAGCAGCGTTAGGTCCTACGAGGAAATGCAGAGATCAAAGGCAACATGGAAAAGCTCCTTAGGGATCAGATTGACAGATTGCAAGTGGGCATGTAGGACCCGGGCGGCAGCGTAAGGCCTTTGGACAGCGTGGATGAGCCTCAAATCCCCCCCCCCCCCCCCCCCCCCCCCCAGCAGTACCTTTTCAACGAGGAATGAAGTAACTTCGGCTGCTCATGAACTCTTTACTTTTGCCAGCAATCGTTCTCAGTCGTCTGTAGGTTCAAAGGTGTCCAATTTTGTTGCAAGAAAACTGCGCCTGTTCGGCCGGTTATGGGCCTCTTCGAAACTTTAGGTCCTCCCTGCATGGTCCATAGAGACGTGGCCCCGTGCCGCTCCCCCCCCCCCCCCCTCTTGCATCCGCCACCGGCCCGAGCAGTTTAGTAGATGGGGCCCGCCAAGAACACAGGACCACCCATCAAAATAAGAAATACTTACGACAAAATATGTAGGGCTCCCAAGGATTGAGTGTGCTCGGGCAGATTAAAATATAGGGCCCCTGTCAAGAGCGTATGGCCCTCCATTTAAATAAGAAGTACCCAGGATCCAACATGGAGAGACCCCAAATGATCGGGTGTGCCAGAGCAGGTTAACTGATACGGCTCCCAACAAGAGCGCAGGGCCCTTCATTCAAACGGAAAGCACCTTAGCGCAGTAAGCGGGAAACTCAGCGATCGCTGGCGGCCAAACGTGACGCAGAGTGACAGAGATGAATACCAGGCTGCCAGGAGAGGCCAGCTCAGCGCAGACGGGTGCTCAGCAGCACGCAGCAGAGGACCAGCATTTCAGAGACTAGTGAAGCATTTCCGACTATCTAGGTTAGCGCCAAAGGCCGGAGAGCCCTGACTGACATATCGCTGCGCAGTCTCAGATGGTGGCTTTAGGTGCTTCCCTCCCTCTACAAACCCAAAGTGGAACTCTCTTGGCGCAAAGGACGACTTAAGCTCATTAAGGAGCAGTATTTCTGCTAGTTTAAAAATCACCGAGACGAATGAAATCGACCAATAATTATCTAAGACATCAGGACTAGACTCACGTTTTTTGACGAGGGGCACAATTGTCCTGCAGGAAAAGCTGGACGATACCCGCAGTTCATAAAAGCAGGCGACCAGGAGCCGTGCCAAAGTCTGTGAAAGGGCTGGAGAAGCTCCATACAGAAATCCCGCCCGCACGCTGCATCGCGTCCCAGACGCGCAATAAGACTAGCAATCTCATCAGGAGAGAAGTGTGAGTGAGAAGGCCCCTCTTAAAATGTCTTAAAATGTAGAAAATGGCCCCTCATCATGTGTGAAGGACCAAGACCGGTCTCAGCAGCGGCTCTGAGCATGGCAACATGCTGCTTTACCACAAACTATTCTATCGTAAACGCTCGCAACTGCCTGAAGCTAATGTGAGACGTGGAATCATCGGCTGTGAACGATGACCGCGAGCGCTGCATGCCACATACAACTGCTCCACGCGCGCCCAGAAGGCACGGAGCCGCCCGCCGCGACGCATTATGGCAAGAAGCCGTACCTCTCGGTCCGGCCGGGCTCAGGCAGCCCTCTTATGTGCGCGTCGGTATGCCCTCCGTTTATCTCTAAAACAGTTGTGCAGCGACGATCCGTGAGGCCGGCCATCTAGCGTCCAGAGAAGAAACCAGACCCGCTCTCCGTTACGAGCAGCTGCGCGGGACAGAGTCCACCAAAGTTTCGGCGATCGCTAGGGTCTAGACCAGCCGGCCTCGGAGGCTGCTGCATGGATCACCGATGTCAGCCCAAAAGCCCTCTGATCAGCGCTGAACCAAGAGGGCAAGCCGCAAACCGAGGACAAGAGGGCAAGGCAAGTTGCCAAGCCGCTCGGCCAGGCCACTGCGGAATGCATCATCACGGGCAGCACGTTACTAATTGACCATGACGCGCTGCGGACCGGCTCCAAGGCGTGTACCTTCACTGTTCTCCGTTTGCCCCTCCTCACCTTTCTGACGCCTAGAAAGCAGGGCATTACAAATGCGAGGGCTGTATTGCATCAATGGAAAGAATGTTTCTTCTAACTGATTCAAAAGTAAAAGGAACAAAGAAAATGAAAACTTGAATGTCACGTCCAGTTGAGTGCAGCAGGCTGAGCTATTCATACCTTTAAAGCTCCGCATTCGTGCCGCGTTTACTTAGGCCTTTTCTGTTATTTTCGCATGATGCGAATATCTAATTACACGGTTAATACCTATGCGGTGTCAATTTTGGTCTAGTTTTGCGTTATTGTCCGAGTGTTTTGACATTAATCAGCGACATCCAAGTTCTACAGACTGCAGCACGTTGTGTTATTTCGCCACATCTTATCGGACAAACTGGTCGAATGTTATTGCTCCAATTCTCCCCGTCTTGACTGGAGACAGATGTCTGGAGAGCTGACAGTCCTGCGCTAGCCCATGAGATGCGTGTGTGTCCACGAACCGAGGCACTCCGCACCGTGGTCTTCCCCGGACAGGGCAAAAGGGTGAGGCGGCCTTTACGAGGTGGATGGTGATGTGCGCATCTGTGTGCAGTCTCACCTTGGCGTGCCCTTTATTGGCCAGATTTGATTTCCAGTGAAGGTGTGCGTTGGATGTGGCATTGAGTTAGATGGATTAACGTACATTTAGTGCATATCGCGTGAGCACGAGATTTTCCATTTGTTCGTGCGAAGAGCCGGGCCTGTTCGACGGTGTACACGGATCCTCCCTTTTTTACCGGCCTGCAATTACCGTGTGGCAACCGAAGCAATAGTTGCAATGAGATAATTCTTAGATAGTAGAACGCCTGACCACCGAGTTGCTGATGTTGATTCACGTGCGAGAGAGCTTGATGTTGAGAAAATCACTGCCACAACCCGTTGATGGAGTCCATTGTGCATTGCGTTGACTGGTGGCCCACCCAGAGGAATACAAATCGACACCAATAATTCCTGAAGAATGACCTTTCTATAAGTTGCGATGAATCCAATGCAGGGTTAACCCGCGCCCGGCCGGAGGTCTGAGAAAACTGCGCCCCACCGGAGGGGGGGTAGGTGGGGGGGGGGGGCGGACTTTTCCCTGGGATCTCCAACTTCCAGACGTCGTGTGAGAAAAATAAAGGTACCGTTTTGAATATCTCGTCAAATCACGAAGAATGCACACCAAATTCTTTGTTGATATACGCGGTAAATTTACGTCCGCATCAGCGACAAAGTCGTTTGGCTGACACTTGATCTCAGCCATTTGTGCTTGATCGGGTTGGCTACTTTCGTATTGAAGTACTTTTGTTTTTGACAAAGACGAAATGAGTAGAAAGATTTAGTGAAAACTTGATTTTTCTCTAAACCTGGGATGGTCTCAGGGTGAACGGATTCCAGCATCTTTGCTGCGGTTTGTCCCCTGGAATCATGCTATTATAGTTTTATGCTCAAGCGTCCACCTCGGCTTATCCATGCCGCAGCAGCACGAGTCCATTCAATGGTTTTATACATGACGATGCAAAGAAAATCTGCACATTGAAATGAAGTTGCGTCTTATCTGCCGATCATTTCTGGGCAGTCCGTGGTGAACCGTCGGTCTGGTCTGGATGAACACCACTACGGGAAGCTGCAAAGCTTCGCTCGGGCTGCGGCTTCGCTCGCAACGCCATCGTCCCCTTATCTCTGCGCTGCGAAAATGTGAAAAAATTCGCGTTGCATTTTTAGCCCTGTGTTCGCCAGATCCTCTCGTGTAGTGTTTCTGAATGTGTGAAGCGGACACCCATATCATGCACGTTGTCACTGCTTCTGAACTTTGAGCAGTGGTCAGGTCAAACATGGCAAAATATATAGAATTCGATCTTAAAACTGTGATGTCATAAGCCACGGTAAGGCGATGACAGTGGAGGCGTCAGGATCATTCAGGGTCGCGGCCAGATCAGGCCAAGTCTTCAAAACTGCCCATAGTGTCGTTGAAAGACTTACAAGTGCCAGGCGTCCGAGGTATGTGCCGTCCAGGGCTGCGGCTGTTAACGACCAGGACTGCAACTGCGACCGCAGCAGAGCGCTTCAGCAGCGCAGCAGAAAGCTTTAACAGCGCATCTCGCAGACTACCGCTGCGTGGCGACACACTTCACATGGCAGTGAGGCACATGCTCCTACATCTTTGGAAGTACCAGATGTATTGCCAGCAATGCAGGCGGCATTTGATCGCGACATGTTTTCAATGACTTGCTCCGCGTAATTCAAATAATCTTGATTAACGACGAGGCAAAAGAGGCGACGAGGAGGTGGCAATATGAACAACGGCGATCAGAACACATGTGAAGACGACTGTTTCAAATTAGGATAGGCATAAACACTACGTGTATGTAACCTGCTTTGGAAAATAAGTCAAGCCAGCAGCATGAAAAGCTAGCCCGTCCAAAATCATAGAGCATATATCATGGACTCTAACGACCGTGGCAGCTTGAACGGTCCAAGTTAGAATTCAACATCAATCACTGGCGCTAGCTGTGAACCTCAGCCCTACAAGCTACCATGACGCCCATAAACAGCTCGTCAGCTAAAAGCTATCCAAGAAACAACACTGCTCTGCAGCACGCAGAGTATGGCAGCAGTGTGACAGCCGTTAGCAGCGCGGCAGCCATCAAGCCGACTTCTCACCATTCCTACTGCCCAGGGCCACGACCATTCCGCTTCTTCAGCTCGTGCAGCAGGCGGACCAAAAACGTGCTGCTGGGGTCGGCCGTGGGCGCGGGCGTGGTGGCGGTCAGCTGCTGGCGCTGCCCCCGGCGCTGCTCCTCCAGCTGGCCGGCAATGCCGCGCAGCTGCTCGCCGGCGCTCTCCAGTTGTCCGCCCAGCGCCCGCTCCGCCGCCGTCGTCAGCTCCTGCGTGCGCTCGGCGCTGGTCTGCAGGCCGGCCAGCGGCTGCGTCAGGCTGCTGACACTATCCTGGCAGGCGGCGCGCGTGCGCTCGTGCTCGCCGGTCCGTCCAGCAGCCAGCTGCGCCACGGCCTCCGCCACGCCGGTTACGCTGGCGCGCAGCGAGCTCAGGCCCGAGCCAACCGCGCCCTCCAGCGTCTGCAGGCGCACCTCCAACGAGTCGACACCGACCTTGGCCGTGTTCAGCTGCTTCACATGTGCCTCGAGCGAGGTCAACATGTCGGTCACGGCGAACAGCTTCTCTGTGAGCACGTCGGTGACGGGCCGGCGCGATCCGGCGCTGACGAACGCCGCCGCCGGTGCGACCAGGCAGGCGGCCGCGAGCAGCAGCAGCAGCGGGGCTGACATTCTGGAGACCGACAGCAACAAGCCCGGCGCGGCGAGGGCGACTGGTCCCACTGAGATGGCGGCGCTGGCGCCAGCGCGCCTCTGGCCAGCCGACTGTTTACCGTGCTGCTCCGGGAGTCAGAGCGTGCAGGGGCGCATCGGTGACGTGCGAGAACATCCAGACGCCACGAGGGGACATGGCTGGACGAAAAACCGGGCGGGGAAGTCCGTCAGATTATGGGAAATCTTTGTACTGTCTGGGGTTGGGCTATCTATCGTTGCGTCGGACAACCGGGCTCAGACCCTGCTACAAGAACCGTGGGTCGGCATTCTTGCACATGATATTCCTATTACGCGGGCGGACACAGCATTGGTCTACAGCCAAATTTGTCTTGCCTGCCCATCTGATACGCGGGCACTTTTGAGATGCCGCGTTGTCCCTTGACCAGCGTCATGTGGCTAGATATCTGTGTTATTTCTGGCCTCGTGGCCTGGTGTCATCGACCTCGTCAGTCGAAGCCAGGGTAATATCTGGGTTGCCCCCACCGGTCAGCCATTCACTGCTCACATTCAAACTAGAAACTCTCACTTATCGGGTTTCTTTCTTACCTCTCAGTTAGGCTTGTTTGCCGACCGACGTTATACTCACGACACGACGTTGTACACGCTCGTCTTGTATCTGCTCAAGAAAGGGCAACGGGCTGCAACGAAAATCAACACGTCTGGCAGGGAATGACACCACTCGCAGGGTATTTATCTTATCGAAGTGAGTGTAACCCGTTTTCTGCTTAGTCTATTTTCGAGTTTTTAGTGTCAGTATTTGGTATAAAACCAAGTAAGCATAACTGCCGCCCATCCATCAACCACCGCAACATGATGCAATTTGCCATCGCTCGCTGCCTCAAACGCAGGTCCCCGTTTGCGACAGCCAACAAATGCGACGCCACGCTTTCCCATCGATCGAGCTTAAAGCTTACTATAGTTTAAACGCCAACGAATACTAAAGATGAGCGAACTGACCGATATCGATCTTACTACGAATACAAACTACACAGTTTTAGGCCGCGCATTGTGTGAGCCTGGTGCAAATCATGCGCGTCGTGACCAGAACGCACGGTAAGATTCTCGCCTTTCTTCCGACCAAAGCAGGAAATCTGACTTCACAGGGCAGTTGCTTTCACAGCGCTGTCGAGCGGGGGTCTGAGCGGAACGTCAGCACCCCAGCCGCAGCGCGCCGCCAGGGTCGCCGGCACTGCGACGTCGCCGGGGGGGGGGGGGGGGAGAATGTCCAGCCGCACCAGTGCCGTGACCGGGACCGCCCGCGTTACGTCCGGCCGAGGTCTAGGCACACGTCCACGTCGCCCCACGTCACATCTGGCCGCGGGTTAGGCACACGTCCACGTCGCCCCACGTCACATCCGGCCACGGGTTAGGCACACGTCCACGTCGCCCAGCGTCACGTCCGGCCGAGGTCTAGGTACAAGTCTACGACGCCCAGCGTCACGTCCGGCCGAGTTAATTCGAATCTGAATGTACGGCGGATATTGTCATTGACCCAGCACCACTCGGGTCTTACTATTCCCAGCAGCGACCGCCTGCGGGAGGGGGGGGGGGGGGGGCAAAAGGTTTCCTCCCTTAAAAAAAGCTGCAGTTTTTACGACCAAAGTCGCGGGACAGGCGTACCAGCGCCACCTGATTGGACAATTTGCAGCTTCACCGGTCTGGCCCGTCCCGGCCCGTCGCAATTTTGGCGGGCTTATATCGTTGCAACTGCTGGTCTTATCAACTGGAAGTTTGCAGCACCACATGGGGGAACGTTGCAGACGTTTTCCTGCAATTCTTTAATTAAGACATTGAATGATCAGGTGACATATTTTTGCGACGCCGCAATGTCACAGCATTTTCACCTCTCCATCCGATAACATGACGCCCGTCAAACTGCAGGCCATGACGCGACATCTTGCGGAAGTGGCTGTGTGCAGACCATGCCGCGGCATCTTGCGGAAGTCATGGATTAGCACGCGTCTAGGCTTTTCATGGATGAATGCCAACTCTCAGCAAACAGGGGAGATGGGGAAAGTGAAACAAACTGCATGCCGTAGGTAAACATACCACCTACAACTCACCCAAATGATTATTATACCTAAATAGCTCTTATGCACATAGGTGAGCCGGCAGTCGACCAGGAAGCGGTCAGTAACCATTTGCATGCAGGAAGCCTCAGACTGGGGCCTAATCCGGCACCAAATCTAAAATGAGCTTGAACTAGGATAAGCACAAACAAAGCACATCATTTGTCGTCGAGCCTGGTAATATGTACGACTCTAGCACATTTACCAGTTCCAATTCACTGCGTCATGCGTAATATGCACACCATTGACATGATATGGGGTATTTTTCCAAACCATTTGCTCGTGTGAAAATCCGTTCGGCTCCCTGAGGCCATAACATTCACAATACACAACGTTTGCGAACCATTTCTTCACAAAAATGAGCATTTTGCTCCGTGCTGGAAGGCAGTGTTGCGATCGCACGTTGCACGCGTTTCCCTGCTCAATATTACCGTGTTTATCTACTGACGAATCTAGGGTGGAGTTCTCGAAAGTGCTTACGGTGAATAACAAACATTGATATGGGAACAGCGGCAGACAGACTGTCTGCCTGGTTCAGTTTTAAAACGGCGTGGCGCAGCGTGTCAATGTCTTCAACACCGTGTCTGAGCTCTCTTCTGTAATCTGAAACAAATCTTTCTCGTGGCTTCGAGCGAGCAAATCCTTGGTTTAGACCAGGCTGCAGTTAAGCTACCAGATGCGAGCACAGACCCGTGGCAGGTACGGCTGTGGGAGGGGGGGGGGGGGGGGGGTCTTCAGGAATTTTGTGCTGTGTTGATCTCCGAAGAATGTGGAGTGTATGTGATGTATCCATGTCAACTGCGGGAAGTACGCCTCACGTTTGTCTTAAAAATGAACAAATTTGCTAAATGTCGTGGTGATACTGTACTAACTAGTGATTTAGTACTATAGTATTAGATATTAGTACTAGATAGATACTGTTCTAACTAGATTCGCCAGAAAGATAGCTTTCGGTGAATTAGGCCTCCAGGGAAGATTAAGCTCAACATCACGCGTCCTCTCTATGACACAGTCGAATGGTAAGTCACAACGAGTGTAAAATCTGCATACTGTCCTAAGGCAAACACTCTTACTTTGACAATGGAAGGAAGAAGCTAGATTGCACGTTTTTGTCTGAACGCTAGCTTGAAATTCAAATTGAACGCTAGCTTGAAATGCTGCTGATGCCGGTGGTCCCGGCAATTCCTCGAATTTGGAGCCCTCTCACCAAGTTCCAGTCGCATCACACCGCCACACGCGCGGACCAACTTTCACACGGATGTCGCTGCATGAGTGGCGCATGCACTGCAAACTGACTTAAAATCAATGTGCATACAGGTCTGAACTGGTGCAAAAGCAAGTCAGCCCTCCAGCTTTCGCCGGCCCTAACTGACGCATTTCCAAAAAATTACCGGCAATAACACGCACGCACAGGTAAAGAACGTAAAATTAAGGCGCATTTCGTGGTGCTACATGCTGTTTTTCTGCCAATGTTCAATGCATACATACACACATACATAAATATATATATATATATATATATATATATATATATATATATATATATATATATATGTATATGTATAGGGGGTGCCGGTAGTGTAGTGGTTAAGGCGTCTGCGTTAACCACTGCGCGTCTGGGAAACCAGAGGTACGGGGTTCGATTCCCCGCGGTGCCCGCCCTTCCTGCCAGGGGGAGAGGCAGGCGACGCCATATAGCCTCAGTAGCTGGGTGCGTCGTAAAGTCCCAATGGCATGGCATATATATATATATATATATATATATATATATATATATATATATATATATATATATGTATATGTATATACCTATATAGCGGTATTTCCTGTTTACCCTCCCAGTGCGGCGAACACGTTTTCACTAACTCGCTTTTGATGCACTTCCACGCCCACGCTGCATTCAGGAAGTTCGATGGTCCCTTGCACAACGCACTTGACCCCTCGAACCGCATGCAGCACGATAGCTTTCCTGGATGCCACGCGTTCCGCAGCTGCTCATGAAGCACTTTTACGGCGAAATGTCATTCAACTTTCCGGTTAGCATGGTCGCTCAGCTGCGATATGCCGGCCAAGTAAGTCCCTCTACCTCTCGCAATTAAACACTACACGGAAATCAACATGCAAGCGTTATTCACGGATTTTGATAAGTTGACACGGTGATGCACATGGAATTTGATAAGTTATCATCTTAGCTAGCACCAACGTTGTACAAACATACATGTTATACATCGCATATCCCAACATTTAACCCGGGTAGGAGCCCCTGCCGCACGAACTTGCGTGGGCGTGGCCGCACTGGGAACTCAAATGCCGCCAAGCGCTGTGGTCGGGATAACAAAGCCGGCTGTGCGGCTCGTTCGTGCAGCTGGCTGATCCGGAAGGCATACTGACAGTTGCAGCTGCGCTGCAAACGCCGCCTGACACATTCTCTCCATCCCTCATTAAAGCCGATGGTTCTCGAACAGTGGTCGTCTCATGTTTCGACAAAGGAAAATGTGACAACCGCTAGCTATTGTTCAATGCATCTCCGGACTGCGTCTAGGAGCGGCAGTGAAACAGGTCATTTAGAGATCTGCAGCAACTTGACTGGTGTCGGCTGTGGTCCCTTTTTCCTCAGACCTCTGCCACGCCCAAGATAAATGCGTTTAGGCAATGGCTGACGCATTGCTGGTACTCGGACTGAGTCAGGCCGCGGTGCGATGGCCAAAAACCAGCGTTTCTGATTGCCGCCACGTCGGCGTTTGATCATGTTCATTACGGATTGCTTAAACGGTTCACAAAATCCCACCATTATTTTCGCTGGCATTCAACAGCGCCAAGTTATGACATTGTTGTGTCGCCGTTACCACCTGCCAAAATTGCACAAAAACGGTTATCTCTTCGCCCAGTGTCATGCCGCACGCGCCGGCTGCCGTTGTGACCTTTGCCTCTTCTGGCCTCTGCATGCAACTTACGCGGTGTTTATGCTGAGTTGGCGGTAATGAGCGCAACAAGCCGACATTTTTGCACATAGTACACCACTGATTGCTGAGCGCGACCAGATACAACTTGGTAGCGAAGCTATGTCTTTGAACTGAGTGTGTGACACTGAAATTACTAGTGTAACTTGAAGCAAGTGTGAATCCACACTACACGCAAGTGCAGGTTTTTGTGGATACCTGACTGTACTTGGCCTCATTGTGAGTTGGGCGTTTTTATGCTGACGGTAATCGACCTTCATTATACCAGAAGGCACTGGTTAAACAAGCGCTATCAGGCAAGCAATGATTAACATGACACAACTCCATGTTTCAAGCTGCGCTTATGGTCACGAGTGAACAAGATAAGGCACAAAGTGACATTTAAAACCAGGGCGAAGCAATGCAGAAAATGCGCTAAACTAAACACGCCTGTCATCAGCATAATAAAGCCCAAGCGCTGCGCATGTATTCCGACACGCTCGAGGCGGGCGAACCATACACTGTGTCAGCATTCAATTCACGGCACTGGCGAGTCAGATCACATACACTTTATGGCATAGCGGCGTCTATCTATTATCCAGGACGACCAGTGCCTAAACACATGGCTTTACAACACAAGTTAACCGAAGGCAGAAGAAACTGACATTGGGTTCCCGATCTTTTTTTGTATTTGTAACGAAAAACCGGGTCTTTAAATCTCAGCATTATGCCGCCATATCACACGACAAATTTTGACATCACTCACATACACTTACGTTTGTATTCAAGCACGTTAATCCCGAGCGCAGGATTCTTTTAGTGGATTGCGAGCTCAAAAACGAAAATATATGCGTTGGTTCGATGTAAGCTGTTCACCGAGGCTTCCATTCATGCATATTCCTTGGTACTTTTTATCGGACCTTAAGCTTTATCGGGCAATTGTCCCGGAAACTGATGCAAAGATAAGCAAGCTTTTTGCAAATCTGCAAAATCTGAACAATGTTCTTGATATCTTTAAGCCCTGCAAGTCTACCTACAAATCAAACTGTTGACGTATCAGAGTGCAGCATTTCCGCCCTGAAAACGCCACAACGCTGTCTGCCGACTTAGCAGGAGTTCCCTCCCCATTCCTTCTGATCAGCTGTGGTCAGTGGGTGTCGCGTCATGCCGGTGTGGCTCGGGATGGATTGTCCGTCTGACTTCGGTCCGCCGCTATTCTCTCCTGTAGTGCATATCACGCTGCACACAACTGGAAACAGCAACTCGAAGGCTTATTGTGCTCACGATGAAGATCGACACGGCATCTGCGCTCCCCAAGCGTGTGCAGGAGGCTTAGCTGGCTACGAGCGCAGTCAACCGAAAATAAGGCACGGAACACAATTGTCAGACTGTTCTCGAACACACGTGTTAAACCTTTACTCTCACCGAAACTCAAGCACTTGGGAGCACCTACGATCGCTCGCCCGTCTAACTGTCCCGGATGGGCGGATGGACCGTGGCCGGGCCCCGACTCGGTGGCTCAGCGGCGGGGCCGACCGGCCGGCGCCGGCACCGGGTCCGAGTGGAACTGCGTCACCTCCTGGTGCGAGACGGCTGGACCGGCGGCGCGAGCGCCGGCCGGCACCCAGCGCACCCGTGCCCGGAAGCCGTGCCGGTCGTCGGCCGTGTACGTCACGATGCGCTCCAGGCCGTTCGGCTCCAGCACGCGGTACTCGCCAACCACGCCGCCGCCGTCCCGCCGCTCGTGCATCGACTTGGAGTCGCCGGTGCGCGGGTCGGTCACGTGGAACTGGTAGCGGTAGCGCGGGTGCGGGTCCGTGTAGTCGCCGCGGTCGCCGCCGTACACGGCGTGCTCGCTGTGGGCGCTGTTGGAGCTGTAGCCGGTGTCGACGTTGTAGCCGTTGGTGGCGCGGTGGCCGTTGTTGTTGCTGTAGACCCTGTGGGCGCCGTGGCCAGTGTTGGTGTTGTATCTCCTGTTGAAGCCGGTTCGGTCGCCGTATCTATGGCCGAAGCCGTAGTTGTTGCCGGTGGCACGGCTGCCATCGTCGCTTAGATTTGTGCTGTCGCCCGCAGTGAAGTCTGAGGCCATCAGCAAAAGCAGAGCAGACAGGATGGAAACAGCACCGGGAATCTGTTGGCAGATCGGTCACACACACATCAGGAGGGAGGACAGGATCAAAACGGCGCCTGGCATCTGTTAACAGATCGGTCAAATGCATATCAAGAGAGAAGACAGGACGAAAACGGCGCCAGGCATCTGTTAACAATCGGTCAAATATACATTGGGAGAGAGGACAGGATCTGAACGGCACACGGCATCTGTTAACAGATCGGTCATATAAACATCAGGAGAGCAAGCAGGATCTGGACAGCATCCGGCATCTGTTAACAAATCGGTCAGATACACATCAGGAGAGCAGGCAGGATTGGAACGTCGCTTGGCATCTGTCAACAAATCGGTTAAAAGCATGCCAGTAGAGCAAGCAGGATTTTCACTGCAGCCGGTATTCGTTCAGCATTGGGATTATGTTTAATTCCCTCCTTGATGTGTGCATGGCTATTGTTTTATTTCAATGCTAACAGTGGATGACATCTGTCAAACGTCCGAGTACACATACCTACACACACAAACAAAAATCGTTAGTGTTCCACGTTTCCATGGGGTTTTGACCCGAAATGGTCATCTTGAAGACCTTTCGGTGCAGTTCACAGCGCTACCATTCTTAATACCTGAAACCTTCAAGTTTCTGAGCTATACGCGCGCAAAAATGGGGACACTCTAAGGGGATAGTATTTCAAAGTCATCTTGGCGTTCATGACGCCATACCAACATCATTCATCATCAACATCAAATCCTGTCACTCCATAAGTTATGCAGTGATCGAGGCCGAGAAAAATATAATGGTGTAGCCGTTCAAATCTGGCGTTCGTGAGCATGCCTTCCAGATATAACGACCGCTAATGGGCTCTTAGTCTATGTTATGGCAGGTACGATGACCCAATCACACAACGCCGTATTGAGGGACATATTTACTAAACGGATAGAGGGCACCCTGTAGAGCATTCGTTTCACTTAACAATACGCAAATAGTTGTATGTGAGCTTGTGCCATTATACCTGATGTTTACTTCAAAATTTCCAGGTGTGGAACATTTCCTTTAAGAATTATCGGTCCGCCCCTGCGACAAAGTATAAGTGTACAAAGCACTAAGGACACTCACCCGCAACGAGGACAGGACCACTGCGCACGACATGAGTCACGAACATTGATGTCTCACAGTCGCAGTGTCTGAGGCATTGTGCTTGAAAGCTCTCTGGCCATCGCCCAACAAGCAAGTGAAGTCGCGCATGACATGCCGTTACGGGAATAGTTGGAAGCGAACTTAAAAAGGGGGTCGGGTCGCGTTTCGCATGCTGCACTGCACTGAGATCTGGGAGCTTAGCGTACTTAAGCCTGTTTTGAACTGGTAGTGTTGCGTTGATCTCTAACATTTTTGTGGTCGGATGCCGCGCAAAGTTAACAAAAGTTACCAGGTTCAAGGCTTATAAATGCTCATTTCGTGCCTTGCTGACAATGACTCCGAAGCGTCAGAAACGGTGTAAATGTAAAACAAACCGCAAGATCAGTCGAGCGAACACACACGTTAATTAAGGAATAGGGGTTAAATCTAGACCTGTCGTTGAATCCAGCGTGCTTAAAAAGACGTTGCAACAAGTTAGCAGCATTGCTTAAATACTGTTGTACGGAGGATGATCAACCAGTGGAGCGGAACGAACGTGCGATGAACTCAGAGGAATTGTGGCATCATCATTGGAAACTAGTCTGGGCACGGGTAGCATGTGCCGCGTAATGCATGACACAGTTAACATAGAACATGATTAAACTAGGGAACAATGGCACTCAATGCATGTGTGGAAAATTACACTGCGCGTAAACGAATGCATTTTTTACGTTGCGTGGATAAAACCTCAGCTCTTTATCCGAAATCTCACGCACAAAATTGCGATGAATGGTAGGACGAGTCGGTTCTTTCAGTTGAAAGCCCAGAATGGCATGCCGGCACACCCCCATGATTCGTTCAGCTTCTTTGCTTTGCAGGGTCTAGCCAGTGTGGGTGATGAGTCAAGTCAACATCCGGCATATAGCATCATTGGAAAAAGCACGTTAAATTCCTGATTTAAAGAGAGACATGCTTTTTTGCCCTCCAGTCTTGAAGACATTAGGTAACCATAAGCGAACTTCAGCAATGTCTGTTTGATGGGGAGGGGGGGGGGGAACATCACATTCTTCTTCTAACGCCAAACAGCCCAGTAGAACGTTATACCTAAAAAAAGGATTACCGGAAACGACTTCAGGACTTTCCGACTTAAACGGCATGTCAGACCACGCCTTGTAGTAGCGACGCAAGGGTCTTTTCATTGTCAATGTCATGCCAGGCTACGCCCTGCACCCCGTTGAAAAAAGCATATATAGACCCTGCGCAATGTGCGATATGGACGCAATGCATGCGGACCGCAAGCGCAAGGTCGTTCAAGGTTATGTTTGGGGAGTCACAGAATGACCTCAGATTTCAGTTCCAGTCTAAGTTGCTGATGATCCTACTGCGGTGTCCCCGATATTCTGTCAAAAAAGGAAACATCTACGTTACATGAAAGGTTTTATTTTAGGTACTGACCTTCCTTCAACATTTAAAAGTGTTATAGTAGGCGGCGTATCCCATAGTTTCCGAGGCTTTTTGTTTGAAACCATATCCTGAGCCGCCCGCTGCGATACTTTTCCATGCTTTAAGAGCACAAGAGTTTACAAACATTCAACGTCCAACGTTCGAAACATTGGGCTTCGTAACAAACAGCCGAATGGCCCGCATACAATTAAACAAAGCGTCACTTCTTAACAGACATCGCAAGCAAAGGATCAAGCGCTTACTCGGCCCACGTCCTGCAACACAGGAACGCTTTCTGGCAATCGTTAGCGCATCATAGACGACCAGCGAACAACGCCGCTAAGAACTTAATGTCCGTTTCATTTACGACCAACACCGAGAGTCTGCAACATGACAAGATCGTAATGGTGTTGGTTTTTACCTTACCTTGTCGCGCTCCATGTCGAGGGGTCCCTCTCCGTGCACGCCACTCAAGTGACTGAGCGCCTGCGACGGCGCACCATTGTTCTCACATCACCGGTGCGCGCCGACGGATGGCCTCACATTGGCGAGCTGTACCCGCGTCATAGGGCTGCCGAATGACCGATGTGGTTTGTATTCTCTGCAGGCCATTCGCCGCGGTATGAGTTTATGACAAGGGCCCAGCTTGCCAAGGGAATCAGGTTTTAACGACGATTTGCAAATGAAGGCATTACGAAGTCACATATGATTTGTGCTACCTTGTGCATATTGTTAACCTGGATGCTCAGCAAGATTTCGACCAAACACATCGTGCACGTATTTTTTCCGGAGGGAAGACCGGACCGGACTGGAGGGAAGGCAACGTGCGTAAAGAATCTGTTCGCACCAAATGTAGGGGCCCGTGGTTTCCTTGTTTTAAGCTGACTACTAGGGTGCTCGAGAACAAGTCAAGAACTCATATGCTTGCGAACAAATTATCGGATAGCAAAAGAGCTGGGGAAAGAAAATCACTTACGCAGGCATGTATACACAGGATGGTATGGGATGGCAGTCAGAAGGCACCATTTGGAAACACCTACCGCTGGATGCGGTACAAAAACGGTTGGACAGATGTTTCCAGAACAGTTATTCGTGGCGATGCTGCAGTCGTCTAATTGTCTTGTAACACTGATGGGTTACACATTGGCTAACACGTTCATGAATTTTATGGATTCACCCCATGGGCCATTCTATCCCGGCTTTTAATAGCTGATTGGGAACACAAGGTTTACAACGTGAAACGGTGACATCGCTGATATTATCATCTCCTGCATGCCTGTGAATAACCCATACAGACGATAAAAGTGCACTGGAGATGTCCGTATAGTGGGCCACGTGTTGCTATTGGGATTCATATTCGTACGCGCTGAGACCACGGTCACACATACCTTAGGCATTCATGCATGCAATTCGAATGTGAAGATAGGGACTAGTTCGCCATGTCGTCGGGTACAATGCGTGACTTACACCTTAAGGAACCCGATTTTTAAAGGTCACCGCACACACCTCAAGAAATTAGGGATAAAACACGATCACGTATTACTCCGTCATAACGCATCGAATTCTAACCTGACAGCGGTCCTATGCTCACCACGACCCCAGATGTATCAACTTTGGTAAGCTGTCTTTAAAAATTATCGCATAACCTCCATAGCCTTATCGTTATGCGACGGAAAAAACCATGTAGTTGACGTGTTTATAGCTACAAATATGCACATGTCAATAAAGCGCCCACGGCTTAAAAAGCGGCCACACATTATTACGTCATGAGCTATTCAAATCCAAATATGAAAAGGTCCACCTGCTTGCCATGTCGTCAGATGCATGCATCTTCACCAGCCTAACCTCTAAATGTCACAGTACAGCCCCCAAGAAATCAAAGGTAAAATCACAGGGTCACGTATCACTGCATCAGTGGTGCATCAGATCCAATGCGCAAAGCTACGAACTAGCCATGCCGTGCAGTACACCACGTTGAGGAATCTGGCTTTGAGGGTCACGGGAAAGCCTCCAAGCCATCAAGATTAAAAAAGAACGCAGTTACGCATTGCACCATCGATCATACATCGAAACTAAATCCACATGCTGCACGTGCTCGTTACAAGAGCAGGTACATCCACTTTTGGGAACCCGGGCTCTGAAGATCGCTGCATTGCCTCCCGGCAGTTTGGGGCCCCATACGTAGTCACGCATCATTGCTTCATCATTGGAGCATCACATCCAAATATAACAGCACCCACGTACTCGGCATGGCGTCAGGCATATGTATTTTTGGTGACCAGACCTCGGAAGGACACCGGTATACCCCACACCCATTCAGGTTACCCCTGATTGGCTGTATTATATATATATATATATATATATATATATATATATATATATATATATATAAGTATTATAGCGGTCACGCATTATTCTGTCAATGATGCATCTACATTTGCAAGTGATCACGCACTCGCCACGCCGTGAGGTATGTACAACATTGCTAACATGATATCTGATGGTCACCGTTAGGTCTCTAGGCAAGTTGGGGCAATAAACGCAGTCACGCATTTCCCCGTGACTTACGCATCGAATCTAATATGAAGACGCTCACATCCTCGCCACGACACCGGGTATATGCGCAACCGGCAACCAGACCTCCGAAGACCATTGTCCGTTCCGGTGGCTCAGTTCATTAGAGCGTCTGCGTTCCGATCCGCCCATCCGTGACAGGGTAGGTTTGAGTCGCTTTAGGGTGCTCACTATTTGTCCTTGACAGGTATGGCCTGCGGCCGGTGGCAGCGGTCGCGCTAAAGGTCAACTGACGTCAGAGGGCAGCATTGCGGCCGACCGCGCCGAGCATTGCGGCACGTTAAGCTCTCGCCACTAAATTCTGCCGCTGCCTAGAATTGCGCGATCGGATGGTGGGGGTCAGGGCTCACACAACAAGCACTGCTTAGCATGAGCGCTGATCCAGATATCCATCCATTAAAAGGGTCTAAATCAAATCTATAAAACAATATTTTAAAAAATTGTGTAGCCTCCAAGTAACTGGGAGCAAAACACGCGGTCACGCGCTGCTTCTCTCAATCACGCATCAAAACCACATCTGTAGACGGCCACGTGCTTGCCACGACGTCAAGCATAGGCACCTTTGGCAACATCAGCCTTTAAAGGCCACCATAAAACCTGCAGAAAATTGGGGTGGGGTCAGAAATAATACGGGTAAAAACGCGATAATGCGTCACCCCGTCGGCAACGCACGGAATCCATGTCTGGAAACGGTCGTGTGCCCTCCATCTCGTCCAGTATGCGGACCTTTAGCAGCCTACCCTCTCAATTCCACCGTGTCGCCCCGGACAACTAGGGGTAAAAACGAGTTGCGCCCCCCCCCCCTCCCCGTCAATGTCAGACAGGATCCTAATCTGGAAGCTGCCACGTGCTGACCATGACGTCAGCTATGTGCATACTTGGCAACCTGCCCTGTAAAGGTCCCCTTATAATCTCCAGATAATAAGCGGAAAACACATGGTCACACATTACTCCGACAATGATGCATCGAATCAAAGTCTAAACACCACCACTTGTTCACCACGACGTCGGATTTTTGCAATGAAATTTTTGAAAATCAGCGTATAGACTCCAGGCAATTGAGGGGGGAGGGACGGGTAAATTGTGGTCACAGATTATTCCATTTGCAATGCACCAAATACAACTTGTAGACCAACCACAGGCTGGCCATGGCGTAAGGCATATGCAACTTTGGCAACGCTTCTTTTTAAGGTCACTGAAGAGCTTCCGCGCAATTAGGGGTCAAACATGCAGTCAGGTATTACTCAGTCAATAAGGGCCTCGAATCCTAAAGTTGCATATACCTGACGCCATGGTGAGCACGTAGCCGTTTTCGTATTTGGATTCGGTGCATCGAGTAATGCGTGACCGCGTTTTTTTATCTGAAATTCCTGGAGGCTATACGATTATCCCTACGGGTCAGGCTGCTAAGGATGCATATATCTAACAGCGGGGTGAGCGCGCGGCTATCTACAGATTTGATTGCATGCATTGATGACTGAGTTATGCGTGACCGCGTTTTTTGGTGCATTTGAACATGAATTCGAATATGGAGGCGTCGCTAACTAACCCGAGGAAGTTCGTTACTTTTTTGTCCTGTGGAGGCTCCTCCCGGTGGAGACAACCCCAGCCCACGCACGGACATCGCTGGAATGTCATGAATCATTTGACAGTCGTGTGTATCACCTGGCTTCCTTTTTCTTTTACTTATGGTTGTACCAGGTAGAGGAACACGTAGTTGACAAAGGGCTCCGTGATGACAGCTTCCCCCCTCCCTGAAGACAAAATCGCTGAATTTGGCCTTCTTGATTTCGAGGGTGCATAATGTTCTTCTTTTTTTTCTTTTTTTAATGGAGCCAGAAAATACCTGAAGATGCGGGCGTTAAATGACTACATAAAATAAACCACCGGCGTCTTCATTTAACATGGACTCTTTCTAAACCGATAGAGCTCAGAGTCCTCGCCATTATTTTTTTCTGGGCTCTACGGAGACACCGTGAACACAGACTGTAGATAGAGATGGGGGCCACACCTTTTGCTAACGTGGTCGACCCATGCTCGTGTGGGAATGATCAATCCCCAGTCAGGATCGATGAGTGATGAAAATCATAAGATAATTCTGGACATGTGCACTCGCAAGTACTAGGCAAGCACTAGACGGAGGTCAACAAGCGAACGACAATGATGGCGAAACTGAAATACGTATCTTCGAACGCTGTAGGACATCAACTCGTGCGTTTCAACTCGTACGTTTTAACTCGTACGGCTCGCCACTTTCATCAACTTGTACGGCAGTTCGATGGCATGTTTCACCTGTGCGATTATCGGATCTATAATAGGATCGGAAATCTTCACAGCGCGGCAAACTAGTGCTGAAATCTAGTGGTAGGGCTGGAAAGGTAGTGGTAAAACATGCATTTTTCGTGTTGTGGCTGTCAATCTGTTCAGAGGACAGCCTCAAAACTTGAATGATGAAATACGCGCCCTAGTGCAATCTTTGAACGACATGAATTGACTTTAAATAGTTCCGGAAGCACAATTTAACGACAGTCGTTCTCGCACACCTGGCCCCCAGTACCTGGCGTGATCTGCAGCGGTCAACGCAGTTCAGTTTTATGGAACCTGTAACCCCGACCATCGCCCATTTTTGCTCCGGATATTGCGAGCGTGCAGGCTCAAAAAGCTCCATGCCATTCGTTTCACAAGTCGATGCTGCAAAGTCGTAAATGTTCTCAGGCAGACATGAGTAAACCTTTTCATTTTGACCTCATTTTGATCCACTCATTTGAGCACTGGTGATATCCATTGCCACTTTTCCGGACAAGGGTACTGCGGGTTGAACCCTAGGGGGTACATTATCGTTCGCGGCCAAGGGCGTAAGAGAACTACTTCGTTCTTGAAGATATTGAAGCAAACATGAGATATGATTTACAAGTTAGCTTGTAACTGTTGG